TCCATCTGTTTGTGGTAACCTGCCAGCACGAATACGACTTTGCCGGTGAGGTTTTCGATCTCTGCAAGCAGGTAATCTAATACTGCTTTGCCTCCAGGGCTATTTCCAGAAACCAGCTGATACGCTTCATCGATAAAGAAGACACCGCCGTTGTTCTTGAGTATTGTTTCTATGTGGGTTTTGCATGCCGAGACGCCATCGTTTGCGAGAGCTGATCCAGAACTCTCAATAAAGTGATCTCCGGGAAGGGCACCAACTTCAACCAGGAACTGGGCGTAGTAACGAGCCACTGTTGTTTTACCTTCGATGAATTAGCAATCAGTCTTGTATACATATGTCGATCATACCAGTTCCAGGGTTACCAAGCAAAGCTGCACCAAACCTTTCGCCATTTAGCGAAACATTTTGGCGCACTACAGTGTCGACTTTTGCTTTGATTGCGAGAAACTGCTGTTTGACAGATTCCAACCCTAATGAAGGTTAGCATATGGACACTGCAAAGATAGAGAAGCGCACCTATCATAGGGATTAGGGAGTCCAGTGCTTTATTCTCAGCACCTTGAAACTTCTTCTGCCACTCCCAATCGTCTCTTGCCTCACTCTTGTTCCAATCGGGCTGGCTTTTGTTCTGGTCAGAAGTAGGAGGATTGCTGCCAGCTGTAGCACTATCTGCTCGGGCCTTTGTCGCCTTAGGAGTTGCGGGGTCACAGTCTGGTGTTTTCGTTTTGCTCGATGAACTCGCTGATGAGCTGGGCGGTGAAGTTGATGGAGCTGCTTGTTGTCTAGGCCTTTTAAGCTTCTCTTGCAGGTTGCGAAGATCTTGCTCCTTTTGTCTCAATGTCTGCTGGCGATCCTGCTCATCGGTTTGCTCTCTCAAGGTACGCTTTTTATGCTCGATCTCTTCTTCGATTTCGGCTAAACGTGCAGCGTATTCCTGCTGTTTGGCCTGACGTTCCTTTTCCAATTCATGATTTCTTTGGCGTTTCTTTTCCTGCGCCCGCACTTCCGCCTCGCATTTTCGACAATGCTTCGAAGCCTTTTCGTGACATTTCCTTGTGATTTTGTGATTGTTGGGACATGTTGATGAGATGATAGCCTTGCAGTTCATCTTTGAATGGTCCTGCAACTGGTGGCATTTGTTTGGACAGGCATGAATATCGCATTTGAGAAGTTTGCCGCTGATCTTATTAGTTTTGGTCAATAGACCTGAAAGTTGTACATACCATGGCTCAGAACAGCCCCCATCGGGGCAAAACAAATCAAAGTCCTCTTTCTTAGTCAAGAGCTCGGTTTTATCAGGGTGCTGTTCGCATTTGACAGGAAAGCCGTCATAGACATGACCATCTCGCTTCAGCTGATTCATTAGTGGAACCCACACCTCCTTGCCTTTGCGACTGTTCATGAAAGTTTCTGGATTTCCAATCACTATGAGGGCATTGCGTGCTCTTGATAGCAACACATTGACACGTTGAGGGGACGACATGAAACCAATATCTCCAATCTTGTTGCTCCTTGTGAGACATGCAATCACGATATCGCTCTCCTCACCTTGGTAGTTGTCTGACGTGATGTTAGAGCGTGTTGAGAGCGGAATGTGGTTACTCACCAATTGTCGATATGCGAAGCTTGCGTTTGTTGATGTTTGCACTAGCCGGGGTTAATAGACCAGCTTGTAGCAACTCGTATGAGTCCAGATCGTTCAATATAGGATCGTTTTCATGGGACAGTGTTTTCAAAAGCAAATACAGCTGGCCGAGATAGGGAGTCAGTATTACAATCTCCCCTGTGCCATAGCCTTGCTGTCCGAGATACCGCACGCATTTGAGAAGCATATCAGCCTCGTATTTGTTTTCCTTGCTGGATTTGGCACCACCGTCACGTCGGTCAGCGATCTGTACTGCGTTGAGCTCCGGGTGCGCGTGAGATACAAAAATCACGTTGTCTTGGAAACCGCGCAGTGCTGGTCGACCTTTGGTTTTCTCAGCGTCTTCCAGTTCTGGATAGGTAAGTGACCTGACAAGCGATGATATCTCGGGGCGCATGCGGTGCTGCTTGATGAGCGTAGTATGTGGAACGCCACTGAGTACCAATCGTTCAAACAGAGAGACATTCAGATCGAACCCTTCACCCTTTTCCACGGTCAGCTCGTAATTGTTTACCTTGGGTCGAAGTTGTTTGTGATCGCCGATCAAGATGAGTTGTTTGGTAGATGGTGAGAGTGCTGTAAGCACGTGGCTCTCGAGTATTTCTCCAGCTTCTTCTACCAAGATGATACCAGGTGCCGCCTTTCGGATCTCGTCCGTGTACATAGCAGCGGCTGTGGTAGTGCATCCGATAACCCGCTTGTTGTTTAGCACATGAAAATCCTTCTGGCGATATAGGCTTTCAATCTCAGCGCGACATGTGTTGTACTTGTCAGCCAGATTGGAGATTTCGGCAATCTGCTCTTCCAGTATTGCTTTGCGCCACTTCATCTGACGGTTCATGCGTGATTGTAACGAGGTTTGCCAGATGTGAGGATATTGCTGCACTGCGTCGCGAGCAAATATGCCGGCATCTTCGCCTCCAAGCCATCTTTTCACCAAATAGTATTCATCAATCTGCCTGTTGTTCTTACCCATGAGTATCATGCCGTCATCACTGTCCGGGACAACGAATGCATCAAAATACTCTGAATCCTCTGAAAACTCTAGGTACTCGAGTATGGCTTTGTGATTAAGTTGCAACGAAGCAAACGCCGTCACTTTTTGGTGAAGAGAAACGTAATATGAGTCTTCCTTGGCTCTCTGTTCTTGGATGCTGATCCATGTTTGGCTGCTCATTTTGTAATTGTTTGGCTGTTCCTTGATGTTCAATGCTCGAGTGGCAGCAGTAAACTTGGAGCCGAGTCGTACAATTGACTGAGATGGTACGCCGGCTTTCTGTATGTCCTCAAGGAACTGGTCAAGGGCATGGTTGGTGTAAGTGAGAACGAGTATAGCCTCCCTGGTATGTTCGTGTAAGAGTTTCGCGATGAGCGCACCAATGAAGCTTTTACCGGTACCAGGAGGACCTTGTATGAGACTTACCCTTTTCATAAGACCAGCCAATAATGATTCTGCTTGAGCTTGATCCAAATTGATAGGATGTGTGCTGTCGACAATATCCTGGAGATCCTGGTCCCAGTTTCTTTGAATCCTATCGATGATATAGGTCGGTTGGATACCTGAGACTGCCTCGGCAGAATCTGGCGTGAGATTGAGTAGCTGATCGTCCAGTGGTAATTCCCTGAGAGATTGGAGGCATTTGAGGATTGGTTCATACGAAAATACAGCAGTATCAACTTGCACAAAAGAAAGATCTTGGGCGATCTTGCACGCCATCAAAACCTTGCCAAAGGAGCTGGCATCGATGATCCGGAGTACAACTACAGGAGGGTCCTGAGCAAGAAGGCCCTCGTTGCGGTCTACATATGCAAAAGCGATAAGCTGCTCGTTGCTGACAAGACACCCAAGAGAGTCGTGCTTCAAGATTTTTTTGTTTTCGTCAAGCTCCTTTTTACGATCGTCCACGTGTTTGAGGCTGCGTAGTTGAGGAATACCCTTTGGACACCGAAGCCTCAACGAGCAGGGCTTGCGTCTCCTATCTAGACCACAGTCGATACCATCGTATTGCAGATTTTCGAGTATCACTTTGCGCCGCCCCTTCTTTTTGCCAATGGCAATCTGAAAGTCGCTGCGCAATTCACCCAAAAGATCCTCGCGAAGCAGGCGAAATTGATTGTCGAGATGCATCAGGCTGCGGCCTTCTGGAGCAGCCGAAGCGACAACATCCGCGCGCCTGTAAAACGGCTGCGCGTCTGACACAAATTCATCTGGTGTTGGCAATAGCTTGATCTTGCGATAGTCCGCTTTGTCGTTGTCGTGCCTGCCACCAGGGCCATCGACAGAATCATCAGATGTATTTTCTAGGACGTGCTTGATTTTCTGGCCGAGATTACGGAGGTCTAGAGACTCCGAATCGATGAGCGACTTATCGCTGGTAACTTGTTCAGCGATGGGTCGCACATCCGGTACGTTACTGGAGCGACTACACAACAGCTCAAATAACAGCCACGCAAAGGCGCGCGTGCCGTCTTCGGAGAGAAGTTCGGTAGTATGTGCCTGCACAAGCGTGTTCCAGAATGTCGGAGGGTACACAATAGCCTCCAGAACGCGCTCAAGGAATTGACCGCCGTAAAGCTGTTTGACGGATGGTTGGGAGAGATGTAGAAGGACGGAAGAGGCCAAGCCGTTGAGGAAAGCGCCATCGCCTGAGAAACGGAACGCCTTCGCAACCGCGCCCAAGCCGCCAGGAGCTGCGACCAAACACTCCACGCACTTGGACGCATCCTCCTGGGCACACAGCGCTTCCAGGAATCGACCGCCATCAGCTGCCGTCTTGAGTTCGCGATGGCCATGGATGACGGCGTTGAAGAGCTTCGTTAGTCCCGCAGCTCGTTTTGCTGCAGCCGTTTGGTCCGCCATGTGTGTGTGAGAGGCTAATCTCTTGCAAATAGATATTTTTTTGTTTCAAAGAGGTTAAAAGATGTGTATTTTCTGCATGTATGTGCTGAAGATCTTTGGTTCTTTTGAACTACTCAAGGCATAATGGGTGACTAGGTGGCACAGGGCCCAGCGCATACGAGAGGCTTCTCTGATAGCAGGCTGTGCAAACGATTGGAAGACAAACCCCGCCTTCTGCAATGCGGCAAAGCAATTCGATGCGTTTGCCTGCATGGCATGGTGGGAACTGGACGGACCGACGCCTATCAGCTGTGCGCTGTGCCAATCCTTTGTGTACGTTGAGCAAACCACGCCACAAGCGCCTCAGCCTTGCCCAGGCAGCATGAACTGATTAAGAGCAGCTTGCCGCCGTCTTCTAGGAAAGAAGCCTTGGAACCAGGACTCAACTCCTGGCCAGCATAACAACCCAGCATTGATTTCATCCTTTTTTTTGACCCTATTTCAAACACTGCCACAATGAATCCACCCATAGGCACCAGCAGCAGAGGCGGCGGCCTTGCTCCACGGAGAGGGCAAGGCCGAGGCGGTAGATATCTATATTTCAACAAGCCCAGGGAACCACCGAAGCCTGATCTTACGAAACACCCTCTTGGAGATCTCGTCGATACGATCAGCGCGTCAGACCTAGACGTGGGAGCGAGCACTACCTCACACTCTACCGAGATATCTGGCTGCGAGTATGTTTCATCCTACAATTGGACAAACGACGCAAATAGTACTATTGTCGTACCAGGTAAGTCTAATTTCATATGATCGACTTCAGTGTCCATCTTTGCCTAACTTTAAACCTACCCTAGGAAAACCCCCAAAATGGACGCCTCTCGCAGAACCACAACGCCTAAAAGAAGACAGCGGCCAGTACTTCCGCGACCTAAACGCCGCAAAGAATCCCTCCTACCCCATGGCACCCGCCGTCCACGCTGTGCTCGAAAAAGACTATCACTACCACACTGATGAAATCGACATCTTCGCCTGCGGTAGCACACTAGGAAGCCTCCTCCGCTTCGCCCGTGGCATGGACAAACCCTTCCGCTTCAACCTCCAAGTAATTAAACACACCGTCTTCCTCATCCGCAAAGAAAATGACCCCAAGCAATTCATCGAAGGTGTCCGAGGCTACGGTCACACCTTCCCCGAAGCCTACACCACCTGGAGCGACCCCAAAAACTCCATCTCCCACCAACGCATCATCCGCTACAAATTCGGCGGCCTGACACATCTCCTCCGCTTCGAAAGCGACGGCTACATCCCCGATCTTTGCCCCAAAGACACCACTCCACCTCCTCAGTCTAGTGACGACGACACCAAAAATAACTCCCCCGAAGAAGATCTCATCCTCTCCTTCCAAGACCTCATCATTGGCAGCCTACCCAACACCCCCAGACTCGCCATCAAAACCCCCAAACACTCCTCTTCCTCCACCACCTCCACCCCCCCTCAATCCACCCTCTTCGACCTCAAAACCCGCTCCGGCAAACACAACAAAAAAATAGACATGACAGACATCCTCCCCCAACTCTGGCTCAAACGCATCCCAAACTTCATAACCGCATACCACGACGGCGCCGGCCTCTTCACCGACATCTGCGTCCAAAACATCGAAACCGAAGTCAGCGCCTGGGCCACCGAGAATGCCGCTGGAATCAAGAAGTTCGCAGTCTTGCTACAAGAGCTGGTGAGAGTAGCTAGGGAACATAGTCCCCTGGGTCATGATACGTTGCTGGAAGTTTATTGTCCCGATAAGGAAAAGTTGGAGGTGAGAATGCAGTTTGGAGAGGGGAACGAGGCGTTGCCGTATTGGTTGAGGGAGAGGTGGGAGGAGGGGAGTAAGGTGTTTGTGGGTTCTTCGTCTGATGATGATGTCAACGATGGTGATGGTGATAATTGTGGGGGTCTTTGGTTGCCCAACCGGTATGAGGAATGGTATAGTAACGAAAACGATGAGGATTTTGGGCCGAGCAGGAGGTATAGGTCGTATTATGATTCGGGATCTGAGCCAGATTATACTGCATGCTCGGCTAGCGACTGTGGATATTGTGGTAGGTGTTCTTATTGAGGTTGACAGTGGTTGTGCTACCATCCTATCCCTTACTTTAGATTTGATAACATCAAAGTCACGTGTCATACATACGCGATTCGTAATCTGTGTTGTCCGTAAAAAGCGTCACGTTGCTGTAATTAGGTATGCATACCAAATAACTCCATGAATCTGCACCATGTATCTCACGAATGCCAATTAGGTTCTGGGTCTCAAACAGCCAAGCGTCATAAGGATAATTATCTTTCATTCATCCGTAAATTATTTGCTTGTAAATAATTGGGTGCAGTCGCCTGGCTTTTCAGCACAGATCTTGCAAACTATGTACCCTTTCCAGCAAGCCGACCAATCTTTCAGGCCAGGAGCAAGCTGTCCTTGCAAAATCATGATATCATATCGAAGTGGAAAGAAGCAGAGTCATCTTCACTGCTTCTCAAAGAAGCTAGATGGAACACGCCTAGTGGGCGACACGTGGGCCCTGAGTCTCGTTGGTGATGCCGATGCGTTCCGCGTTCTGTGTACCATTCATGTCAGCGACCAGAAAGTATGAAAAGAGAGAAAGGGGCTACCCACCTCGGAAGATTGGACACTGCCGTCGGTGAGGATCTTCTTCATGACCTCATCCTCGTTGCTGGTGCCGAACTCGTTCTCAAGCTGGCCCTTACTAGCGGTGTTGAGGATGCCTTGCTTGCCGTGTCTATTTGTGAATTGTTAGCTAATTTGTTCATAATACTTCTCGTATCTTCGTATCGTCGCTCAGTGAAGCTCTCCACACAGTAAGTGGTCCTGTTTAGCACGGAACAAACAACTCTCGAGCTTCACTTTAAGCAGAGTCCATGAACAGGGAAGAACCTACTCAGGAACCATAATCTTCCAGCCAGCCACAACCTCGGTCATGGGGATACTGCTGTCGGCCTTCCACTTCTTAAGCTGCTCCTCGCTCTCGACGAAGACAGTGAACTGATCGCCGCTGCTTCCCTTGTAGAAGACTTGAGTCTGAGGAGAGTTTCCGCGAGCCATTGTTGCTGATGTGTCGTGTTTGATCGGTTTAGAAGAGTTATTGAATGAGGCAGAGAGATGTTCTGAATGCTAAAGTTGAGTATGTGTGTTATGTGAGAGTGTGGTTGTGGATGGAGGGGAAGCTTTGGAGGGGCTATTTAGCAAGCTCGTGAGCTATGACCGGAGACACTACGTCATTGCCAAGCTTGGGCCTACGTTCTCGAAGCATGGCATGCCATAGTCAAAATATGGGGATACGCAAGCCCTCACACCGTGACTAGCCTTGCGGCTCATGCCGGAACTTGAGGCTGAGGGGCGGGGCTTTGGCTGGCTTGCAATCTCATTGTCAACATTCAACCGAAACAAACACCACCATATGGGCATTTTCCCCTCTCGCCAAACTGAACCTCACATAAATGCACCAAAAAGGAAAAAAGGTCATGCCACGTTTCATGTCTAGAGATGACGTTGTTGGTTCTAGCCTTGTTGTTGCTATCCAAATATACGTGTCTTTTTGCAATGGATCCCTCCATCACACGATCGCGTGTCAGCTCAACCCCACAGCCCACAGCCAATGACGTCATACCATCTCCACCGATTCTCAGGTTCCTGCGGGTGCCTTGCATTAATATCAATTGATCGCCATCATGTCGTGCGTATCGCGTTGTCTATCGTGTCGGTCGTAATATCCATATCTTATCTCGCTGTTACTGCAAGGATATAGTGTATCGTTACGTCGTGATAGCTCGATCATAGAAGAAGTTTGTTCGCTTCGCACCTCCTCAACCGTCATTACCTGCAAGCGCCGTGATCCGAACCGACCATCCACACCATTCCACGGCTAAAGTCATCGGAAAAGATTAAATATTCTGTTTTTGCTTTTCAAGAACTTCCTCGAAGGGGTGGCACATGGAGAACCTGACTTGGTTTCGCGGCCCTTCATTCGTCCCACCTTTATCTTCTTGTTCTCCGTGCTCGTGTCAGCATCTACGCGCGGAGGTGCTGCGCGCAATGCTTTTGCTGCTAATTCGTAAGAAGGAGTTCTTTGTACCGCGCGTCTCGCAGATTCCGACCGTGGTATGCCAATCATGTGGCTGGAAAGATGTCGGACTTTCTTTGGCTTGGCCTGTAAAGATTTCTCAACCAGTGTTTCTGCATCTCCAGTACAGTTTGCAAGGCGTCGATGTCTGCTAGAAGGCCGCGGATCTTCCACTTCAAAGTCGATTGGTAAGAATGCGGCTGGGGCGCTGTGGAAGTCTACGACAGCTGGTACTGGTCGTCGCTCAGCTGCCGAATGAGACCGTACGGCTCCATGAGGTGCCTTACAAACTCGGCCTTTGGACGAATCATCCGATTTCGAGTTGCTTGCGTTTGAAAGACTAGGCGAGCGACGTGAGAAGTTACTGGCAATGCTTGCCATGCTCAGTTTCCGCATGACTGAGTTGGCCGATGCTCTGATTTGGTTCTCCATTCGACGACTGGACATGCCCGGGAATGGCAAAGCGTCCTTTGTCCATACATCTTCCAAGACGTGTTCAAGGCGAATGCGCTCAGCTCGTCTTGGTACTAGTGTAGGAATGTGGTTTGGGGATAGGTGCGATTGCGATCTCGCAACTATACCAGGCGACAGTGGTGGGGAGGAATCAGGAAATTTCTGAGCCTGGGTATTCTTGATGATGACTTGATTCGTATTTGTTTTCGCACCCAAGGTCGCCGCTCGATGAACCGACATGCGTCGCACCAAGCTGTTCGCATGGCCAAAAACAGGACCAAGGGGTTTGAGGTCCAGGGTTATAGATGTGAACATGTCCTGCATGGTGGATTGGCCTTCGACAAAGTCGTGCGTCTCATAAACAATGCGGTCACGGAGCTGAGTTTTCCATGCTTCTTCTTCCACAGAAGAGCACGCGGTCAAAATCATTTCGTGGAGGCGATGGCCATGCTCGAACACAAATTTCCATGTGTGTGGTGCGGTATGACATTGTATCCCACGACCATTGTCAGCGTCTTCGATGCTCGCATTGGCGAGAGCAATCGAGGCGACAACGGTGTAAGGAGTATGGAATCTGCTTGCCGTTGCAAGTACTAGACATGATCTATACAACACACACACCATGTAGGACCCTTTGATGCGATCGGGTGTCTGATACGCCACATGTAGGACACCGCAAAGCAGCACGTGGCCAAGCATGCGAAAGACGAGTGCTCTGGAAATTTTGTGCTCTTGGAATGTGAGCCGGTCTTGCAGCTGCCAGGTAATTTCAATCAGTTTTCGAGTTTGTGGATCGTCCTTGGCTTTGTTCACTTCGCGGATCGTTTCTTGTAGACGAAAGAGAGCCTTCTCAAGTTCGGCGTGCGCCTCCGGATCGTCGTAAACAGGAGTATGGCGACACAAGTCGTCAAAGAGAAGCGGGTATTTACAAACCCTCTGAATGGGCTTAATGAGGAGGTCCGAGAAGCTCAGTGCCTTTTTGTTGCCAGCTTCGCGATTGTTCTGCGAAGCAATCACCTTTTGCAAAGCTTCGACGCCTCTTTCGTACTCTTGCCAACCATGCAAACCCTTACATATGGAAGTCAGATCCTGAGACATGGTCGTCCAGTGTGCACCGTACTCTTCATAGGTGAAGAATCGTCTCATCTAGACCTTGTCAGCTTGGCTTTTTTCAATTTTTGGATGAATAGCGAACATGTTTGTTGAAGATCTTGGCGATATTCCCAGCCGTTTCAGTGTCCGTTGCTAGTCCACGTGATCTACATTCCGGAGATCTTCCTATCTCTAGGGAGTGTCTGAGCCGTCGGGTGACTCTGTGTTCGGCAAGGCGACCTGGAGTGACGTCCGCGCTGTTGAAGCGAATGTGCTTGGCTTTTGTTGCAGGGAGTGCTTCCTGGTTCGCACTCTTTGTGAAGTCGGCATGGGGGACGACCTGATGAAGTTCTGCAAGCAGATCCTCGTGAAGTTGTAGAATCTGGAATAGGTTTTGCTGTATAGATGATTTGGTGTGTCCTGATAGAGTAGGGAGGGCAGTGAGAATCATAAAGTAGTCCTGAATAGGTTAGCGGGCAGCCCGAGTCATGTCAGTTGGGGAACTACATACGTTGATCAGAACTTTGAGATCTGCAATGTAGCTCTCTTCCGAAGCAATCAGCTCCTCGACAACTTTACGGCGTTGCAGCGCTCGGAGCCAGGCGCTCTCATCCAGCACAGGTCCTAGCGCACCACGGTGACTGTCAAGTGATCGGCGAGCTTCAGAGAGGTTGCTGCTTCTGTTGGCCAAACGAACCCTGCTCGGCAGGCCAATATCGGAGCGAGGAGCAATACTTGTACTTCCAACTGTGACCGAAGTAGACTTCATCGCGGTTACGTATTCCATTGAAGAGGTTAAAGAGCCGTTGGCCCGCCGTGAAGACTCAGGGATGCGCCCAAGCGGCTGCGAAACAACTGACACAGTGTTGACTGTGTCAATGGACAAGCGTGGTACGTCGATAATCTCCTCCTTCCACCGCTGGGCATGCCGACGCTTTAGGGTGCTCATCCACCGTCGGAATGGCTGCGAAGAAGCCTGCGTGATGGTTGGCGCTGCATGATACTGCTCGTGCGTTTCGCTTCCAGTATCGTCGGGAAGTTGGTCAGTGGGTAGTGGCACGTGAATGGCTTCGTACAGGTTGAACAGATGTGTCTCGGCAAAGTTGTTCGCATGTGTATTGTTCTCATCGGGACTGTGCTCATCAAGGTCCATACCTTCTCCATCCGCAGTTTCATACTCGGAACAGGACTCTGATACATACTGCCATTTGTGGCAATCCTCTCCTTCTGAGGGGGACGGCAGTTCTGGCTGGCAGAAGGATGGTGGCGGTCGATCGTGGCCGCAGTTTCGCTTCCGTGGCTCATCGACAACACGTGCAGTGGTGACTGGGAAAATCTTCTTCTCAGAAGCCAAGTCGAGCAGTGACTGGGAGGTCAGGGGTAGCGTATTCTCATCGGCATGGGCTCGATCAACGGCTCTGCTGTCCCTCAGGGAGTAGAAAGAACGGGCGGAGCCGTTGCGAAGCGCGGCACGGGTCAGTGGTGCATGGAGATTGTCGTCAAAAGGCGAGCAGGAATTTGGATATGGGTTATCGCTAAAGGAACGCTTGAGGGGGCTCTGAGGACGGAGCGACAGCACATAGGCCATCTCAACAGCGTTGTAGTGGTTGGCACTGTGACAAGGGGCGCATGGAGGGTTGAAGCAGCATGAGATAAGAACTACTGCATCCAACGACGGTGGCCTGGGGAGAGACAAGTGAAGAGCAGAGAGGCCAGACAGCTGGTCCAAGCATACTGGAAACAACCACTGTAAGGGAAACGCGAGGAGGCAGGCCGGGAAGGTAGGTGCACATGGGTGAGGCCGAAGCAGGCGAGGGTCTTATGAGCAAGCGACGATCTCATGAGCAGGTATGGCGAGTTGGAGAGGCAGGAAGGCGGGAGCCATGGACAGACATAGCCGGGGGACGCGTAGTGGACCACGTTTCGAGATGCGACTAGCGGGCCGGCCTCGTTGCTTTTCGCCTGTGTGGGAGGAGTTGCAAAAGCATCATGACGGTAGGAGCGACGGGCGACGAGCACGAGTGGCACGCTGACCTGCTGGCACCCCTTGCACTGCGGGCTGCCGTGGCCCCGGATGGTGTCGCTGTCTGTGTATATGTGCGCGCGCGTGTGGTGCTGTCTCACGTAGTAGCATGTTGCAAGTCGGGTGCAGTGGGTGCAGATGGGGTGCACGTGACGTGGCTTTGCAGGCTGGACCACGGATTGCATGAGGGTTGAAGAGGCGCCATGGTGATGGCGGGCATGGAAGTCCGTGGCTGTGGCTGCCGCTGCCCCGCACCCTTCCCTCCCCCCACTTTGTCTGCAAGTACTACTCTACGTGCCAACTAGTAGCAGAACAATTAGTGGCAGAGGGCGCCAGGCGAATTTCTAGCACCAAAGCGCCCCCAGCTCGTAGCTAGCAGCCAGCCATCATGGACGACATTCATGCGCCCACGGTGTCGTCGGGTCCAACGTCGTCGGGCCATTCTAACGGAATACCCAAGGAGCAGTTGTCGCTGCAAGAGCTCATTGCAGAAAAAGATCGCGTCGAAGCAGAACTCAAGGCTCTAGGGCAGGTGCTGGATTCGGTACGCACGAGAAGCATGTCGCCGCCTAGTCATCATCTGATCGTTGCTTGCAGCATGGCGTTCGCATGAGTACCGGTCTAACGACACTCGATGGCTTCCCGCGCAGCGACATCGACGTCGCTCAGAGTAGGCCACGCACGCCGTGCCAATAGCAGTTTCGTCGCTGACCTGCCTCCAGTACGGACGACGCGGGCGCGCATCATATGGCTGAAGAACGACTACAAGGACCTCATGTCGCGCATCGAAAAGGGCCTCCACGAACACCACGCGCGCCTGGCAGAGCAGGCAAACAACCCGGCAGCGGCGAGCCAAACGCAGCCAGAAGTCAACGTACCGCCTGCGGCTCTCGAAGCACCCTTCGCAAAGGTCAATAGCGTGGTGGCGGGCAGTCCGGCCGAGACAGCAGGGCTACGGGTGGGCGACACCATAACCAAGTTTGGCTGGATCGACTGGACAAACCACGAGAGACTATCGCGGGTGGCAGAGGTGGTTTCGCAGAACGAAGGGGTACTTGGCATGCTACCGAGTGTCGTGCGCGCAGGACTGACGTGTTGCAGGTGCCCATTACCGTGAAGGCGTTGCGACCAAATGTCTCGGGCGGCCCCGCAGAGAGTGTGCAAATGCAACTCACCCCGCGAAGGAATTGGGGCGGGCGAGGGCTACTGGGCTGCCACTTGTTGCCCATGTAAGGCGAAAGGCGAGAGGCGTGAGGATGGCTGGGAATGACGTCAGGGGCATTTGGGCTCTACAGCAGATACAGCAGGGACAGCAGAGCAGGTACATCATCTATCAGACGTAGGGCACACAGCGCCTCCATCAAGTCCATGAGCATCCAAGGGCCCATCGTGGGTTGGGTGGCCGGGCACGGTTTGCTGGTCGCAGTGGATGGTGGCTGGTGGAGGGTGAGTAAGTAGCATGTCTCGTAGTCGCAACGGCACGCCAGCGCTTGCTGCGTGGCGCACTGGGTTTGGGCCAACAAGCATTGCAATAGCATCATAGCCGGTGTCTTTCTGCCCTTGGGGCCAGGCCAAGCAAATCAGTCGATGAATCAATAAATCAATCAAAGAGGCTCCGGCTGCATGGCCAACAGTTCGCCGGGCCGTTTGATTTCAAAGACAAAGGGAGCCTGCGGCGGCCTAGAGGGCTGCCTTGTGCCTGCGACGTCGAAAATTGCAGAAGGTGAGGGCGTGCCAAGAGATCCACACCGCCCGGGGCGGGCCAACACTTGAGCTTGCACAACAAAACCTCTTCTTGCCCCTCTGGAAAGTCACTTCACACGCCTGCACCATTCCCCACTCTTTAGCCCAACGTAAGCCTGCACCACGACCTGCTTTTTGTTCATCGCCCTCGTGCGACTTCAACTAACACTTTTTGCTCCCACAGTCTCTGCGCATCTCGTCTCGTCCACACTTCTCCCCCGCCACAACAACCTACACCATGGCCGAGACTGCCGCCCAACCCAGCTGCCCGACTTTCAAGCTCGTGCTTGTCGGTGACGGTGGTACTGGAAAGGTATGTCGTCCCATTTTGCATCCTGTTGCGATAGTAGCCTGCCCATTGAGGTGGATGCGCACTCAACAAGGCTTGCATACGACCTCGCCATGGCACCTTTACTGACAGCCCCTGCCCCTAGACCACCTTCGTCAAGCGCCACTTGACTGGAGAGTTCGAGAAGAAGTACATTGCGACGCTCGGTGTCGAAGTCCACCCGCTCGCTTTCACCACCGTACGTTGTCCGATGCCCTATCCGCGCCATGCGCCCTACTGACGTCGCAAAAAAAAACAGAACCTTGGCCCCATCCAGTTCGATGTCTGGGACACTGCAGGTCAGGAGAAGTTCGGTGGTCTCCGTGACGGATACTACATCAACGGCCAATGCGGTATCATCATGTTTGACGTGACTTCGCGTATCACATACAAGAATGTCCCCAACTGGCACCGTATGTTTTGCAACTAATCGACTGGCACTAGACACGATAACTAACAGTCCATCAGGTGACTTGGTCCGTGTCTGCGAAAACATTCCCATCGTCCTGACCGGCAACAAGGTCGACGTCAAGGAGCGCAAGGTCAAGGCAAAGTCCATCACCTTCCACCGAAAGAAGAACCTCCAGTACTACGACATCTCTGCCAAGTCCAACTACAACTTCGAGAAGCCCTTCCTCTGGCTCGCCAGGAAACTTGTCGGCAACCAGTCCTTGGACTTTGTCGCCGCTCCCGCTCTTGCGCCCCCCGAGGTTACGGTCGACCAGGCTGTTCTCGAGCAGTACCGACAGGAGATGGAGAACGCCGCTCAGATGCCTCTGCCCGATGAGGATGATGCCGACTTGTAGATATGGGCATGAGCTTGCTCCTGGCCACGGCCAGGAGTGTAATGGGTACACGAATCGAATGGGAATATGAGAATTGGAGCTGCACAATTTGCAGCGCCAGGTGCTTCCAATATTGTTAGTGAAGACGGAGGATTGGGACGAGGATTCTGCAGAATATGATCACATGAGGCGCTGGATTAGCCGGCGTTTCGACGAATAAGTAAACTCTAGACCATTTGCATGTTGAAATGCGTATGTTTGACTTTGAACGAGACCATGATTAGTTTTTTCTTTCTCTGCCTCTCGAAACCCTTAGGGGAAGAAAAAAAAAGAATGCCAGCATAGACCCTGCCTGTGAATGCAAGAGTAAAGCATTCAGACTAGACCATTGCTGTTGCTTTTTTTTCAAGGTAGGGTAAGGACAACAAAGAAAGCACCGCTGATATTTTCCCTGAATGGGTTACTACTCGGAAGTATACGAAACAAAACAAGCAAGACCCCCCCTCCCCCCCAAAAAAAAAGAAGAAGTCGCAGCTAACAGGTTGACAGTTTTCTT